TGGACTCGCTTTGCTCTCGCTGAGCACAAATTGTCTTCCGAGAATGGTACGCTCGAGATTATAGTTCAACGTTCTTGAAATTATGACGGAGCGGTAGCCAGCCAAACCTCACGCTCTTCAACATTGTTCCGTCTGTTTTGCGTATTCTTTGCGAATTACAGTTTTCAGATTGGTACTTATTGAACGCTCTTATGTGCGCTCCTTTTCTCAAACCTTTCGTCATTTCGTTCTACATTACAAATGCATTTATTCATTGATTAACTTATATGATATAAGCTTTGATTTGTTGGTAGTTTTTTTATAACTTTTTTGCAGAGAGAGTCAGACAGTAATAAGATAAAAATGAAATTCTTGATGCTTTCAGCTACCATATACGATGTTCGTGGATATCAGCAATCCTACAGCGCTGAGTAGTTCTTTAAACATTTCCCACATCGGCGAGATACCGGTTGGTGGTTTACAAACATGGGCCTTATCGTTGCACTGCGGACCCTACAATATAGAAGTCGACCTTAGCCTCCGAATAAACGTCTCGGTATCAAGAAAGAACACGACCAGCTTGGAGTTCAAGCGAAAAAAAATTTGTATGAACTTAAAAGAGACTCCCACCGAGCCTGAAGAAGTCCTAGTCGCTGTCCCTGACTCCACTTCCGGTGGTCAGATTTTCTACGTGGCAATTGGTTGCGCGTGTGCGTTCATGGCAGCTATTTTCGTTTTGATTATTATCTACTACGTACGTGATAAGAAGACTAGGAGACATCGAGATCCTCTACAGTGAGTGAAACGTACCGTTAAAAAGAACCGAATAATTGAACGAATTATTGAATATGTGCATAAAAGATTTATGAATTACAGAGAATCCAGAGGACTCAGTTCAGCGTGCAGTATGGAAAGAGGCACTGGAGTGGGACCTGCGCAAACTTTTTTATCATCAGAGACACCTCCACCTGCCTCTGCTGCGTCAGGATCATCTTATAGAAGACTAGATGATCGACCTAACAGAGAACTTCATGAAAGAATTCAAGAAATCACCGTACAAAGGTAATTATTATTTAAATTAACAATTAATTTAATTTAATTAAGAAGAAATATCAGTAATATCAAATAGTAATTTTACAAAAATCTGATTGAATGAATATTATTTTTAGGAATAGATTAATTATTTGTTTCACAATAAGTGTCATAAAAATAAACATTTTGAGTTATAAATAATACCGCAAAATAGAAAAATTATAAAATTGAGTGAAATAATTAATTTTTTTCGTATTACAGATGCAGGGTGCGTCTGATTAGTATTGAATTAGAGGGAACGTTTGGACGCGTGTATAGAGGCAGTTATCATGAAGAAGGTGCTTTATCTCCGAAGGACGTACTGGTAAAAACTGCTGCCGAACACGCATCTCAATCGCAAGTAGGTTAATTTAAAATAATAAAGAGTATCTAACGAGATATTCTTGAGAATAATTAATCAATATAAATAATAACAAAAGAATAAAATATATTAACTATATATCTTATATATATTATCTTCTTAAAAAATAGAATATCTTATTTATTTGAAAGAAACAATTCTATGTTTTAAAATGTGACTAAGATGATGTTCAAGTATAATTTTTTTGTTTCGAAAAGGTTGCTCTTCTATTGCGAGAAGGTTTAGTTTTGTATGGACTTAGTCATCCAGCATTACTTCCGGTCCTCGGTGTTTCCATTGAGGACAGAAGTGCGCCTTTTCTGCTGTACCCACACACGGGTTACAAAAATATGAAAAGATTTCTATTGAGGTGCAAGTTCAGTAACGAAGGGCCTCCGAGAGCTCTTACAACGCAGGAAGTCGTCGAAATGGCACTTCAGGCTGCTAAAGGTGTACAATACCTTCACAGAAAGAGACTCGTTCATAGAGACTTGGCTGCCAGAAATTGCGTGTAAGTAAGAATGATGAATAAATAATTGTAAGTCTTCCCGAGACTATCACTAAAGCACTAAAAATATTCTACATTATTCGACTAAATATATTTTGTATTACTTCCTTGATGATTTAATTTTTTGCGTTCTATAAATCCTTCAGTTCGTATAATTTTTATTGCTAGATATATTGCTTTCAATATAGCTTAGCTGGGTTTTCTATAACAGGTTTTATATTGCCATACAGAGCTGCAATCGTTACGTTTCGTTACCGAATTAATTGCGCGTAGACTTAATAACCGTGTGTTACCGTAAGGCTTTAATTGCTAGTATCTGTCTGATTTCCATTTAGAGCAACTTATAACGATGCGGTAATGAAATTGCGTGATCTTTTTCCGACGATCATCGTCTCAAGTTCACGGATTTTCATGTTTCAGGGTGGACGATGACTTGAGAGTGCAAATTACGGATAATGCCTTGGCTAGAGATCTGTTTCCACAGGATTATCACTGCCTCGGCGATAACGAAAATCGCCCTATTAAATGGCTAGCAATAGAAAGTTTACTCAATAAGACTTTTACTACAGCCTCTGACGTGGTGAGTAACATATATGAATTAATATAAAAAAATACTGCAGAAAAATAAATATTAACCCTTTCAATTTACTTGTTTTAAATTATCGTTAAAAAAATATTTTTATTTTTTAATGAATTAAAATTTTAATTAAGATTTTTTTATTCCACATTTTATATTGCAATAATGATCACGTTAAAATGATATATTACACGCAAATGATACATGTTTGACACTTTTATCATATTATTTTCTCCGATTTTAGTGGGCATTCGGCGTTTTTTTGTGGGAGCTAACGACGTTGGCGCAACAGCCTTATGGAGAAGTGGATCCATTTGAAATGGCATCCTATCTCCGAGAGGGATACAGGTTGGCGCAACCAATAAACTGTCCGGACGAGTTGTTCGCAGTAATGGCATATTGTTGGGCGATGTCAGCAGAAGAGAGACCAACATTTAGTCAATTACTTATTTGTTTACAAGATTTTCATACGCAGTTAACGCGATATGTTTAATTGAGCTGTAAAATAGGACTAAACTTTGCTATTAAGATTGCTATTTCTCCATTGAATTTTTAAACATATCGAAATTTTTATTCAAAGGAATTCTATTGAGACTTTAGTATAAAATCGTATGTGTATATATCATTCTAGTACTTAGGTTCTCGCATAATTTAAGCGATTTATAGTAGTCATGTATAGATCTATAGACGTAATAGATTCTAATTTAATATATATGCATACATATACATATATATATATATATGTGTGTGTATATAAAAAAAAATATATATATATGTGTGTATATATCAGGATTGGCAAAAATAATATGCTTTTTTTCTTTAAAAAAACATTGTGTTTTTTTAAACATGCTTTAATGCTTCATACATGCTTTAAACAGTATTATAAAAAATCATGTTTAAAACATGTTTAAAACATGATTTTTACCAATCCGTATATATGTATATATATATAACACTTTTTTCAAAACAGTGCAATTAAATGAATCGCTTAAAGAGAAACTCTCGGTCAAAATCGAATTTATAATAAAATTTTAATTTTCATACAAAGAGATTCTAAAATTTTACTCATACGCAAATGTATGTATATTTCTAATAGTTATATAGAAATATATATATATTTCTAATTTCGAACTTGTCAAGACGTTGTCTTGTATAGTAAATAAGCACATGTAGAAATCGCGAGAATTATTCATATTGTAAAAGTTAAGACTGAACTCCCACTGTTGCGCCACATATTAGGTGCTCCTTCGACCTATGTCACCCGCGATAACCAAAACCGGTGAATGTACGTCATCGTGCACCACCATTTTCGGAAACCTGTACTGCCGGTGATGAAACGGCAAATCTGAGCCATGTGATACGCGCTTTGCTTGCCTACATGAATGTATTTCGAGTGTGCCAATACCTTTTCTCCTTCTTTCTCTTTTGTATTTTTGTATATAATATATCTTTGCGTCGTGTGCATACGCGTTATTATACGATTATATGAGTATACGAATCGCGATTAAACGAAAGAATCCTTTGTACATAATTGACGTAGTTAGCGCGAGACTATAATTGTACAGACAGGCGTTAGCATTGTGAGCCCAATAAATTTCTATCTATACGATACAGAATGACAGCATCGTTACTTTTGTCTACATCCACCCTCTCACTGATCCATCACTACAAAAACAGCCGTAAATGTCACTCTTTCTAGAATAAAGCATCGTTTTAAAAAATGTCACTCTTTCTAGAATAAAGCATCGTTTTAAACCGTCCAGTTATTTCTGGCCAGCGTATTCTCGTGGTGAAAGGAAGGGTGTAAACGCGTTACGGAAAGAGTTTCTGTTTTCTCGGAAATCGTTCGTCAAAGCCATATGTCATGTCTTAAACGAGTCTTGTAATTCGTATGGCAACGGTACCGATGTCGCATAAGAAAATTAATGGCGGTCTCCGGGATAAATAACTCTCTCGTTTAAAATAACGAATATTGAATTTTCATGATTTTTTCATTTTTACGTAATATAATGTTTAAATTTATATATCATCAAATTTATATGCTATTAATTCTTTTAATTACAAATAAAATTATAAGTTATATATCTACAATAATAATATAATTATAAAAAGAATTTAAAAATAATAAATTGTAAAAATGTAATTTAAAATACTCTTAACAATTCTGCTAATAAATATAGATTATTTCTTAATTATATCATATGCATAAATGGTTAAAGAAAAATTGATCGACATTGTGCAAAAATTATTAACGTAAAATCTTTAGTCGCATTTTACAGAATTTTTTCATATTCTGTGAATAATTAAATTATATTCAAATGAATAATTATTCAGGATTGCAATATTCATAAACCTCAATATAATTTTATGAATATAATTAATTTATTAGTATGTAGATACATATAATGCATGTAAATTCAACATTTTATAAGCTGCAATTTAATTGAAATATAATTATTTTTATTTTTCTATTCGTTATTAAATCATATATTGTAATATTTTTCCGCGTTTATAAATAATTCCATGATTTAAATATATTAAACATTTAAATATGTCAGCACATATTAACAATATCGACACACTATTATCCAAGTTCCTCTTTCATAGCTATATAAATCGTTTTCTCCCAAATTTACATGTTTATTTTCGCTTTTATGCGCTCTTTGTTCAACATCTACAAATAACGATACTCTGTGAGGTATATTCCGTGGGAGAATGAACAACCTTAGGTCGCCAGGACATTAATTTGCAACATATTTACACTGTCAAGATACGTCTCCGAGTATACCGAGTATATCGATGCCCAATAATGCAAGCTCGATTAGGCACGTTACATTAGGCATCCGTTTTCTACGCTCCGTCGACAGTAAATGCTGCCTGCTCGTGAAACTAAGGGTGCACCCTTGGTGCATGCTTGGAAACTGATAAAAACATGCGTGGAAAAAAGGACATATATTTATACAGTCGGCAGACAAACGCGTAATTGTGCGAGAACAGCAAGAATAGCAAAAACTCGCTTAGAAATACAGTTTTTACGGCACAGTCGTGTCGCATCATTCGTTACCGTCGAATATTTCTCGAGAAAACGACGAACAATCCGAGAGAGAGCTTAGAAAATTGATTACAAATTAGTCACCGACGCATTTGGTTTTCTCAGAAATAAACATTCTTCGGTCACAATCACAACGGAATATTTTCGAGACTTAATAAGAATTCTGCGTCATTGTGCGACCGTGATGCCCGTAAGCCTCGTAATTACCGATCTTACAAAGAAGATTTACGTAATGGCGATATCCAGCGATTGCCTGACGATCCACCACTGCATAATTGCATCTTTGGCACGAACAACTTAAGCGCGATCGCAACACGAACATTTGGCGCCTGCTATACGGATGAATCATTATTCCGTGACGCACGAAATACGGCACAGGAAAGGATGACACCATTAGAATTCTCTCTCTAATTTATTCATTACACAATTGGTCTCGCGTCGCTTTTAATAAACAATTAAATCAAATGGCAAAGGTAAACCTTTTAAACCTTTTAAACCTTTTAACGTTGAGACAATAAGAGAAGCTCTATGAACAAAGTGTGATTGGGAAGAGAATCGTTATAGTTCGTAGCGTTGAAAGGGGCAACAAGAGTTTTAATGAATCTCAATGAGGCCCTTGCGCTCTTTGTTTACATTGGGATTTAGCCAACCGTTGAGGGTGACAGGATTTGAAATTACTTTAGCACTGATGTGCTGGCTGCAACGGACCATAACGGGGTGCATTTTAGAACGAACACTTTGCTCATCGCAATAGACGCGAGATAATGTCATTCATGGGTATTCATCGTACCCCTCCGTTAAGCTATTCACAATGAATCATGATTACAGCGAATCTTTGCTCAGCGCGAAAGTAAGTATACTCTTCAGGAAATAGTGAGCGTGTTGTAATAGATTAGTCTCGTTTCTAATGTTAATGTTAATCACATATTTTGAAATCGTGCACTTCTGGAATATATTAGAAGATGCACTAATAACGATTGAGCTCAGAAATTTATGTAGATAGGTACATGCATCTTATTTCCGAGAATATATAATCGATTAAATGTAAAATTCTTATTTGTCATTTTTTCCTTTAACGATCTTATTTACATATAATGATCGTTCATTTATATTACGAGCTTGGATCTTGCGATATCGATCTCAGGAAGTAATTAAAATCACTGGTCCGAATCTTTTAAGAAAAGTACATATTTGCTTCTTTGAGTCCATCTTTGTTACGCTTTACGAGTTGGAGGTCATTGCAATTTTCTACAATAATGATTGTCATTACTATATACATCCGCTATGACTATTTATCCCTTCTTTAAAACAACATGCATGATACAAGTATTTTATGAAAAATCAGTGTCCCCAGTGTATTCGCAAACGAACAATGAAAATGCAAACGAGAATAATTCTCATCGGTTGTTTTGTGATCATGATTTTTAATAATTTTGGCACGAGTGTCAAAGTTTCGTCAAAAGTCGATTTGGATTCCAATGAAAATGAAGAAACATTAGACAATCCAACCTTCACGATCTTAAATTTAAAAAAATCTGCTAATTCACCAGAATCAATTTTGCGTGCATCTAACCCATCGACATTAATCTGGCATCAGGGAAACGAGTTCGTAAAGGAATCGAGAAAAAGAAAGATCTATACATTGCACGTGAGTAATAGATGTTATAAAAAAAAAATAATTACGTAGTCTCGTGAGTGGAATTTTTATCCAAAACAATAAGTACTGTATAATTGCGCTCATTTTTTAAGTATTTGCATATGGATTTTTTAGACATTTGTACATCATAACTATTAGTTCTCCAAGAAAATGCGAATGTTAAGTATAAAGTAGTTTGCTTTAACAGATTTACAACTTCCATATTCATAAAATAAAACAAATAATAGATTACATAATTAAAAATAATTGAAAAATTAAATTTATATATATAATAGATATAATTTATAAATAATACAATATAAATAATATAATGATTAAAAATTAAAAATTAGTTTATATTTAATTTGAGCTAAATTTAATTTTCAATTTAATTTTTAAAATTAAACATTATATAAATTGGGTAAATTATGATATAAAGAATCAATAATTATTATTAAACATTATTATTTTGCAGATAGTGAAAGACAAAATTAAGAAATAATGCAATTTATTCGATCCATAATCAATAACTTCCAAGTCTTATTAATGTTAAGTATAAACATTAATAAATTAAACTCAGTTTTTTAATTTAAAAATCAAATTTAGAATTAAATTAAAGTATTCAATTCAATTTAATTTAAGAGAATTATTATTCAATTGATCGCATAATCTATTATTCATTTTTTAATTTTATATATACCAAATGTAAAGCTATTAAAAGCTAATATCAAATCATTATTTTGCAACATTATAGCTTCCTCAAATAAGTTTACGTAATATAATGTATGTATATTCTGATAATGTATGTATATCCAAAATTAAAATTCAAATTTATATATTAGTTTATATTTTGAAAGAGAGAGAGAGAGAGAGAGAGAGAGAGATTGTATAAATCAAGTTTATATAAATTTTATAAGTCGAAAATCCATCATTGTTTCAAATAAATAATATATCATGAATATTAGAACATTTACTATTATCAAATTAATTTAATAAAATAAATAATTAATTATACCAAATTTACAGATGTTTAAACTAATATTTAATTAAATCCAATTCTATTCCTTATTTGTATTTCCACTATCTTTTATGATTATCTAATATTTGACACACTTATACTCGTTTTTATTAAAAATTTTTAATTTTAATCTCTATTCAACTAATTATTTATCTTTTTCTAATTGAATAAGTTGAATTGAGATTAAAGTTAATTTACAATGGTAAAACGACATTAAATAATTTTCATTCTGTATTAAGAAGTTTTACAGAATTTCGATTAATCATTATGAAAATTAATTATTTCATTTCAAATACAATATTATGTTATTTCTAACGAAATGTGTAAATAATGTTATTACTTTTGTTTATTATGTTATTATTAGAAAGTTAATAACCATATAATATATTGGCGTTAAAAATTATTGCAGTTCTTTTAAGGTAATGAGATAATTCAATTTTTTGTAGGAAAATTCAGCAAAACAACCAAAAATAATCAATAATATTCAAGTCATTGTGAATAGCAACGATAGTATACCAAATGAAAATTCTTGCAAATACAATATTTGTAACGTATCCATTTCCTCAAAATCAGACGAAAGAGGAAATATCATCACCGAAGTGTATTTCAGCATTATCACGAAAGCAAAACCGAATGTTAAAATTGATGATGTTCCAGTAATCAATGGTTTTCGAGGTATCAATGAGAATTATGACAAGCAACCAATTTTTCATTCAATAAATTCACCACGTTCAATAGACGCGCATTTATATTTTAATAACATTCCACAGGTGAGAAAATTCATTTTGTTTCACTATATAAGATTTAATGCATGAAAGTCAATATTCAAGTAATTAAGACTCACTTTCGATGATCTACATGTAATTGTGTATAGATTTTAGATAGAATTCTATTTACAATTCTACTGTAAATAGCTGTATATTTGAATATTGTGTATATGTTTTAATGCAAATTTTATATAGATGTTTATTTCTTCAAATATTTTTTATATTTCATAGTACATAAAATATATAATTTTACAAAATTTTATCTCCTCAACACAGTTTAATACAACTATATATATCATCTGAAGTGAGTTTAAAATATTTCTTGTATTTCAATATCTTAAAGATATGCTCTTCTTCTATCGTAACAGGTTCAATCTAATTATCATGGATATGGTGAGCCTTGGCATGGACGAACTTTTCGACAGCCTCATCAAATGAATTGGAATTATCATGGAAATCATGGTAACGTGAGATTTCGAAGTCATAACACATGGGTACGAGATAGACCCATAGTGGATGATAAAATTGAACCGCCACTTAGCAAGACCAAACTCAGCGACGACACATATTAATTATAAAATAATTTATTAAATTGTGTGTAAAACTTTAATGATGTAAATATTGCTATAATATTTTTTATCAATATGTTTTATCATGTTATATTTAATCATTATTAAAAGCAATTTAATGATCACATAATAAAATTAAGAAATCAACTTAAAAGCGTCAAGAGTTTAATTTATGCATAGTAGATACAATAATATGAATATATTTTTAAGTATATAAATGTAATAATTAAATGCAGAATAGTCGTCAAAAGTGTTGTATCTACTCAATATTATTCGAGTAGAACATAACACTCAGGTAAAGATTTTGTCAAGATTTTTAAATGTGTATATCGTGTATAAAAGTTATAACTTTTAAGAAAAAATATTAGTTCTAAGAAAAACTTGAGTATTTGTGGTAATCTTAAGGAAATATTTGAGCCTGAGTTTTGAGAATTTTATGCTACAACCTTACTTTGTAACATTAACAATTTTGAATTATAAAACTTCATCATTATCATGATACGTTCTATACAGTACATGATAGTAAATTAATGATTATAAACATAGACACGATTAAGAGCGTAATTTAATTAATCATACAGAGTGCGATAAGAAATTTTTCCATTATCATTAACACCTGTAATGGAAGACTTATGGTTAATCGGCCTGCCATCCGGACCGGTCATGCTGGAGGAGCTCGAACTAGAGAATACTCCATAGCTGTTACCCGATGGCGGAGGAAGATCATCAGCAAATCTGGACTCTATTCCTGGAGAAGCCTATGACGGATAGATCGCCGGTAATAAACACTATATTGAGTAGACTGGAATCTGATTTTGTGCAAAATGAAGCGTATTAACTGGACAATTTCTGTATTGCTTTTTTTTTTGCGTGCGATAACTCATGAAAAAAACGTAAAACTCACGGGACTAATTTGACCAGATTGAAAACCACCATATGGACCTAAACCAATGCTGGCACTCGCAACCTGAGGTATGCCGCCACCGTAATTTTTGCCATCGTAATTAGCCGCTTCATTGGCCAAACGATTGTGGAGCTCCATGTTGCTATATAATACAATGTGCTTATTTACAATGTTCTTATTTAATGTGCTTTAGCAACGTGAATGAGATAATTTGCAATTACATTTTTTAAAAATTGAAAATATTAGATACAAAAAAATTGAATATTTCTGCTTGATCTTCAGGATGAGAAACTAGATAGACAATTCCTAAAACGAAATACGGAAAGAAATATCTCCAAAAGAGCAAACAAAATTTTACAGTAATTAATTATAGGGACAATGCTGTTTTAATTATGTAATAAAATTTTATAAAAAGTTTTACTTTAAATTTAAAATAACTTCAATACTTTTAAATGTGTACTTAATATACTTATTGATAAAATTAATCTAGAATTTATATATTTAGAGAGAGAGAGAGAGAGAGAGAGAGAGAGAGAGCTATTTTATTAATTAAATGACAGACTTGAAAGAGCTCTCTGTTGTTAAATGTTAAAACGATATTGAAATTGTGTAAGTGCAAATGATTTTAAATATAATTTCAAAGAATTCCGCTCAAGTTAATTTTATGCTTCGATCATTTGCAATTTATATTACTCGAAGACTTACGCCTTATGTTGCGCCTCGATCTGTGCCTGAATTTGTTTGATCATATTAAAAGAAGGATCATTAAAGCTAGGAAATTGCCCTGGGTAAAAGAATCCGGGTCCTGGATTATACGGATCTGCGAAAAAATACAATACACGATAAGATACAAATAACAACATATTGTAAAAATCATGCATATACATGCGATTACATTTGCTTATAAAAATTAATATAAATTATCTAATATAAGTTACCTAAACAAAGAAATAAATAAATACATACATACAAGTAAAGAAATATATAAATAAATAATATAAATGTACAAACGCGAATATGATATAAATAAATAAATAAATAAATAAATGTCGAAAATTATTATCACGACATTAGTCGCTTTATATAGTATAAGATCCAATTACGTTCGACAGAATATCATGCATTTTTTAAAAGAACATCAGCACGACTTCGCCAAACAAATTTCGAGATACGTAATTCTGATGTCTCTTCTTTGCCTTTGATATCCAATTGGTTTCAATCTTTTGCCGATCTTTTACAAACACCGAGAAATGTCCAAACCATAGCATGCAACCCCAATTCATTCATTATCTTCCAAAATTCTGAGTCAATCTTCGTCCTTGCATTTTTGGGTTCATGCTCGTACCTCCGCCGAAATTGAATCCGTTCTGATTTGGTGAATATGGATTATTCTTGTTCGGTGAGATATCCTTGCTCGGTGAGTCATCCTTATTTGATGGATCTTGATTTGGTAAATTATCTTGAAATCCTCCTCGACTATCGAAAGACGGCGTCGGAAATCCCGTCGGTGAAGCCGCTGTAGGAAATCCCATTGGATATCCTGGATATCCAAAACTTCCAGCGGACGCGCCTGCGGATGCGAATCCGGGCCCGTTGTTTGTACCGGTCCATGCATAGTTCGGGTTATAACTTGGTATAGAGTTGAATCCAGAATAGGGATCGAAACCTGAATCATAACCGCCTGGACCGAATCCAGCTCCGGATCCGAATCCAGGTCCGAAACCAGATCCGAATCCGGGTCCGAATCCGGGTCCGAATCCGGATCCAAATCCGGGAGCGCCTAATGGTCCAGGAGTTGGCGCTTGATTCTTAGGCTCAGGTTTCTTAGTGGAGTCTTCAGGTTCGTCGACATTCGAACGTGGCTGAATTTCGCTTGGTTTCTCGGACGTCGGTTTCGTACTTTCTGGAGTTGTACTAGGCGTAGTGGATGAAGTTGTTGGAGTAGTGGAAGTGGATGTGGGAGTAGTGGAAGTGGATGTGGGAGTACTGGCAGAAGTGGAGGTCGGAGTAGTCGTGGGAGACGTCGCCTCTGTAGTAGTGGTTGGTGTAGTAGTTGGTTCAGTGGATGGGGTGGTTGTAGGTGACGTTGGAGGTGTAGTCGATGATGGTGTAGTTGATGATGGTGTAGTCGATGATGGTGTGGTCGATGGTGTGGTCGATGATGGTGTGGTCGATGATGGAGTTGTTGTGGGATCTGTTGTCGAGGAGGTTGTTGTAGTTGCTTGACTGGTAGTAGGTTTGGTGGTGCTCTCACCATTCGAATCGTCAATTTCTCGCTTCACTCTGGACATCGTGGCGAATGGTCTGTCGACGTGTTGTCCTCCAGCTTCGAAAAGAAACGAAAACAGAAGAGCAATTTTTTTATCGATCGTTGCTACTTGAGATGAAACTCGTTTTGTTGATGATTCTCAGCTACTAGTTGAAAAAGCATTGTTAGTCGCAACATGTCTTATGAGCATATCTTGAAATTCCATCACCAGAAAGACGCAATTATGTACTAGAAATATTACTAGTAACACTTACATAATTACAATATGCGTATAATAATGCTTAATGTAATAGATAATAGATAACATTTAATAGATGTGTTACTAACCACAATATTGTGTAAATAGTAATGTTTAATAAAGATAATGTGATGTGCTCAGATTTAAACGCTATACATATATATGTAGTATTTTATAAGGAGATACTAATATTCGGGAAACATTTAAAAATCATTCATATAAAATATACGACAATTAAAATCCTGGTTCAAATCCAGAACTTGAGAACTATTTATAATAAAAACCATTAGTCTATCAAATTATTAAAAACTTGTCAATTAAAATATAGTTTGCGAATAAATTATTTTTATCACTGACTTATCTTCAACTTAATTAGATAAAAATTAATGATAACTTAACAATGTGTGATTAACCACGAACGTGATATTAACCATGAAAAATTATTAAAGTTGTACAGTCACGTTAATTTGATAAATCACGTACTTATAGCATTTCTTTTTCGATAATATTGTGATGTTTAAAACCATTGATATTTACGTGCTTTATCTCATTATTTCTTATTTATTAGTATGTATTTAAATTAAAACTCTTTTTCAACTTACCTTTCTATTATTTAATTATCTCATTACTACAAATGCACACATATTATATATTGTAAATTTCCATTTTATATTAGAAAATATATTTCACTGGTAAATTCTACCTCTTTAAACAAAAGTAGGTACATTTTGATAAGTCAATTAGCCATATATTTTATATACCAATATGATAGGAATAGCGTGTCATGCACGAGACAAGAAAACAGAAAAGAGAAAATATGAGAAGATAATGAAAAAGAAAGTATCTTCTCATGAGTCAAGGTAAAGAACGGAATGAGGTCACGGTCTACAGGCGTCAAATTATCTTCATTTGGCTAGCAGTCGTGTGAGTAGTTACGCATGTGTTTATATGCGCAGACGAGCATGCTGTATCACGGAAAACGCATGGTTGCACAGACGAACATCAATCTTGGTTATCACGATTAATATCGTTCACGCTCTTAGCAATCGACGATTTAATGACGATTTAATCACTAACGATATTAATGCAACAATCTTATATGTTTCCACATTCCATTTTCACGAAACAATCGGCGTGGATAATTATGTCAGTTACGTCAAATAAAATTGTGTATAATGCGTGTTATTTTCTTTTTCTAATTTTCTGTCATATATTTAAATATTATTATAATTGTAATTAATCAAGAATAAAATATTGAGAATAACATAGACATGTAAGGCGTGTATGATAAAACTAAAGATATAATAATGATGACTGAAATCTATATTATATCCTTATTTATAAATAAAAAATATTAGTGGACTATTAATGGATAATCTTGAAAAAAAGAAAAAGAAATTAAATGTCTAAATTGCCTCACGCAAATTAACGTATTACAGAATTATCATAAATCGTAAATAATTTCAAATCACTGACAAAAGCTTGTTTAGTGATTTAATGATGAGTTGTGAATGTCTGTAAAAAGATTTTTGGTAAAGATTAGTGACTATATTTATAACAAAATAATTAATGTCATAAATAAAAGATTATCTTAATTATTCATTTTTCGAAGTATCTTTATCTACAATCA